TTATTTATGTCTCACATTGTCTAACCCTTGGTCCCACCTCTCAAGCTCCTTCTTTCCCTTTATCCCCTAGGTTTCTTGTATAACCTTCCTTCACCCCTCCCCTTAAATTAACCCCATTATTGTCCATATCTCCCTTGTTAACACCTGTTTTCTACTGTTCTTCTCTTTCAGATCCTTTCTTTTCATTTACCTCCTAGCTTCCTTTTCATTATCCTGGTTCCTGTAGTTATGGCTTGATACATACTCCCTTATAAGGATTTGGTGCTAGAATCCACATATGAGGGAGAACACACATCAATTTTTTTCCGAGTCTGTGTTACTTCACTCAATATAACAACTTCTAGTTCCATCCATTTACCTGCAAATTTCATGTTTTCATCTTTCTTTACTGCTGAGTAAAACTCCATCATATAAATGAAACACATTTTCATTATCCACTCGTCAGCTGAGGGACACTTAGGTTTCTTCCATCTCTTAGCTATTGTGAGAAGAGCAGCAACAAACATGGATGTACAAGTGGCTCTGCAATAAGATGAGATCTTTGGGTATATGCTAAGGAGTGGTATAACTGGGTCAAAATGTAGGTTCATTTGTAGTTTTTTAAGAGTTCTCCATTGATTTCCATAGGGGTTGAACAAGTTTGCAGTTCCACCAGATGTGGATGAGCATTATGCTTTCCACAAATCCTCTCCAAAATTTGATATCCTTTGTTCTCTTGATCTTAGCCAGTCTGACTGGGGTAGGATGAAATCTTAAAGTGCTTTTAATTTGCATTTCCCTAATTATTATTGATGTTGAAGATCTTTTAAGATGCTTCTTAGCCATCTTTTTTTCCTTCTTTTGAGAACTCTCTGTTCAGTTCCTTAGCCCGTCTTTTAATTGGGTTACTTCCTTTCTTGATTCTTTGTTTTTTGAATTTGTTATACATTCTGGATGTTAAACCTCTGTCAGATGTTTCACTGGTGAAGCTTTTCTCCCATTCTGTGGGTTTTCTCTTCACTTCCTTGGTTGCTTCTTTTAATGTACAGAGCTTTTTTAGTTTAATGAGGTCCCATTTGTTGATTCTTGATCTTGTTTCCTGGGCAGTTGATGTCCAGTTTAGAAAATCCTTTCTTACACCTATATCTTGTAGGTTATTGCCAATGTTTTCATCTAACAATTTCAGAGTTTCAGGCTTCACATTGAGATCTTTGATCCATTTGGAGTTGACTTTTGTGCAAAGTGAAAGACCGGGTTCAGTTTCATTCTTCTACAGGTGGATATCCAGTTTTGCCAGCACCATTTGCTGAACATGCTGTCTTTCCTCCAGTGAATGTTCTGTTCCCCTTTGTCAAATATAAGGTGGCTGAAATTGAATATACTCATATTTATGCCTTCAATTTTGTTTCATTGATGTATGGATCTATTTTTGTGCCAGTACCGTGTTGTGTTTATTACTATAACTCTGTAATATAGTTTAATATCTGGTATAGTAATACCCCCAGCATTGATCTTAGTGCTCAGGGTTTCTTTGGCTATCTGAGGTCTTTTGTGATTCTATATGAATCTTAGGATGGTTTTTCCAATTCTGTGAAAAATATCATGGGGATTTTGATTGGCATTGCATTGAATCTATAAGTAGCATTTTGTAGGATGGTCATTTTCACAATATTAATTTTTCCATTCCATGAGCATGGAGGTCGTTCCATCTTCTAATATCTTCCTCAATCTATGTATTGCAATGATTTTTATTACAGATAAGTACTACAGTATCATTTTCATTTGGGAAATGAACATGCATAACAAACCTCGCCTTTTAGATGGATTGTAGCTCCTACTTATAATTATTATAGGTTAAATTTAACAATATATGTATTTGTTTTATTTGCTAAATATATTAGCAACAATCAAATATAGATTACATTTATTTTTAACCTTTTATAATGGTAATTTATTGGAGAAATTTATTGTTGAGATGGTATTGCAATTTCTAAAACAAAAATCGGAACCAATGTATTATCTAGAAATCCCATGGCTGTGTCTATATGTGGTTGAAATAAGATCAATGTGACAAAGAGACACCTGAAACTCAATGTTTCCTGAAGCATTATTCATAATAGCCAACATATGGACAAAATGTAAGTGTCCATTAACTGATGAATGAATAAAGCAAATGTGATATACATGTGACATTTAAAACATCTCAGAGATTTATTTTTTTATTGAATTGTTTGTATGTTTCATACAGCAGAGGTTTATTCTTTTTAAAAATCAAGCACTGGAATTGAAGTTACAAGTCATTATGTGGTTTGTTAATTGTTCCATCACATTAAAAACTGTTAACTAGGCAATTATTCAAAGTACTCTAACCTACTGACCTAATATATTCTTATACATAGATACAGATGAATGGAATGAAATAGGTTGTTTGTATGGTGTTGGTGGGTCTTCTTAGATAAATAAAAATGTACATAAAATACTACTATTTAGTTTAGCAAAAACTACAAGATATTTTTTCAAGTAACTGATATTACATAGTTCCTAAAATAAAATTGGTATTGCCAGGTGAGGTGGTGCATTCCTTTAATGCCAGCACTTGGGAGGCAGAGGCTGGCGGATCTCTGTGAGTTCAAGGCCAGCCTGGTCTACAAAGTGAGTTCAAGGACAGCTGGGGCTAGAGGGAGACCCTGTCTCAAAAAGACCAAAATCAATAATAAATAAATAAATAAATAAATAAATAAATAAATAAATAAAATAAAATTAGTACGGACTAACAATAGATCCTTCCTTTGCTGAGTGAGTGTATCAAGTACATTACAATTCATTCCCAGCATAGTCACAGCAGCACTACACAGCCCTCAAGATTTACTTGAGTTTCACTTCTTTCACTGTATGCAATTGCTGTTATCTGTTATGAAAAAATATTGAACATTTATTTTGATTTTGAAATAAGTCACGGTATTAACCTGTATGTGAAGCTCAAGTCCATTCATCTAATTCTGTTCAGGCTCACCATTATTTGCTTCACAAATGGGATATATATCTTAATTCATCCATAAATAATGGCACTGCATTCAATTAAAAGCTTTGCTCAGTTGTCAAGTACTACTTATTAGGTGAAATACTATTGCATTTAAATGTGATTGAAAATAAGTCATACATATTAGGTGCTATTAAACTTACTTTGTTAAGGACACATGGCTCCCACACCCTGGCCACCTACCTTGGGATGCAGGTTTCTGGAAGCAGGCTCAACGGAGAGTTGGTTGCCACTACCCCACTTTGCCAAACCCTCTGGTGCCAGGGGCTGGACCTGTGGGAAGCCAACATGATGCTCTACACTGTACCCATGGTGATACAGGGGCGAAAGAGCATTCCCTAGGGGGTTCTTAGTAATGTTCATAAAATAGTTTAAAAATGGTCCCAAACAGAAGTTTTAGGACAATTTCATTAGAATTTAAAGAAAATCCTCAGGGTAGTCAAGCTGGAAATCTTAGCAGTTGCCTTGAGGAAGAGAATGGCGGGGAGAAGGAGACAAAACCACGAAGCCTGCAGGTTTAGAGCCTGCATGGAGGTCAGATATGTGACTGGCAGTCATATGACTGGAAGAAGAAAGCTTTAGAGAAAAAGAAAAGAAATACAAGATGCAGCGCAAAGTGTTAGAGAAAGCATGTTTAGGAAAGGAATATGAAGAATAAAAGAAGCGATTATGCTTTTCTGAAGAATTCAGAAAAGTGAGAAGACTTATACAGAGCTACATTACATATCTGTGTCTGATTCCGGGTAGGTATCTCATTAACACAGCAGTAGGTATTCCGCTCATCTATTTAGCATGACTTATGGTGAACCTGTCTTCCTAGGTGCAATTCTATGATCAGTAAAACTGGAAAGGCAGATCTTCCAACAGATAAACTAGATGTTTCATAATCTTGACAATATGGCTATTTTCTACTCTAAAAATGTTCTGCCAGCCATCATCATCATCCAAATGACAGGCTGGGCACAGGCAAGAAAGGACTTAGCAACTAAGAAAAAACATGGTTGAAAGCCATGATGTTGGCTATGGTGGGTCTCAGCAAAATGTGACTCTCAGTAAGATGTCTTATCACTGGCTCCTCCTGGCCAGGAAGGAAGATGTGAAGGCCAAAAATACCAAAAAAAAAAAAAAGCCAACCAGAACCTTGACTGTTAAAATAACAACAAAACAAGGAACCTATTTGTCCTTTTGAGTGAAAGAAAAAGGTGCTTTTCTCTAATATAGATGACCCTCAAATGAGAAAGTCAAGCCAGCAAGTAACTGTTGCAGTGTTTTGCTCTACAAATGTCAAATTCTCTATCAATTTTGTCAACCTCAATATTTATTTTTAAAATTTAAGAGTAATTTTATAGAATCAAGAATTTCATATAATGAAGTTTGATCATATTCAGACCTCCTCCCCCATCTCCACCCTCACCCTACCACCACCCACTCCTCATATCTGACTATATGTCTCTATTAGCAATTGAAAAATTCCACCCATTTTCCATAGCACCTCTGAGCTGAGTGCCAGAGAAATCATATTTCATTAGAGTGTCAATGAGCTATAATTCTTACAGAGGTGTGTCAAAGTAATGGCTTATTCCCTATCCTTCTTTCACAGTTTGTGTCAAAATACAAACAAGTTTCGTGGAATAGGAATTTTCACTCCTAATTTCTGTTTTCTCTTACACATGGCTTAGGAATGTCACATAGGTATTTCTCTTTTCCACAGCACTTAGAAACGCTCAGTTTTCCTCATCAAAGTTAGTTTGTAGCCTATGCATTTACATGCAGTCCTGAGTTCAGAATTCTGAGATCAATATAGAAGCACCTATGATTAGATAAATAGTCATCTTGTGCAATAAATTAGTTCCTCATATAGTCCATCTCACACATTCAGTCTCTTGTGGGTTGGTGCACACCAAGCCCTGGGCCAGCTGCTCGGTTGTGCTCATCCCTGTGCTGTCTTTGCTCTCAACACCGTCACTTTGAGTTGTCTTGTCATATTCCTTCTTGTATGTGTCTAACTCATGCAGAACAATGAGCTCTGGGTTGTGAAAGAGAATTTATTTTTGTACCTGTCTTTCATGCTTTGGTCCACCGGTTGAACAAACACATCTACAGAGTATTATAAAATGTCATATCTTAAACACAAGGATAATTGTGTAGACAGAGCAACAGAAACAGGAAAATAATAGAAATCAATATAGTTGAAATAGTGATCCTCTCCCATGAACCTGGAAATGTGTTCACCCTACTGTGAGCCTGTACCTGTGTTCTTGTCCTGTGACTCTATAACTCTCATGTGTCTGGTCCTGTGGTTATCTTCCAAGAGCCTGGAACTGTGGTTGTCTCCCATGAACCCGGAGCTGTGTTCACTTCTTGTGAGCTGGCATTATGTCTCCAGTGGTCCATAGCTGTAGTCCCTCTGTATGAGCCTACAATTGTCATTGCCTCCTGTGAACCTGCAACTGAAGTCCCCTGGCACTGTGTAGGTTGGGGTCTCCAGTGAGCTGGGACTATGAACCCTCCCTTAAGCCAGTGTTTGTGGTCTGCTCCTGTGAGCTAGAGCTGTGATCTTATCCTGTAAACCTGGAGCTGTGGTTCCATCCTGTGATCCTGAAACTGTAGTCTCCTACTGTGAGCTGGAGTTGTGGTCCCCTACTTTTACCTGGACCTATAGTCCCATCCCATGAACCTGGATCTGTAGTCTCCTCCTGTGAAACTGGAAGTATGGTCCTATCTCCTGAACCTGGAGCTGTTGTCCCCTCCCCTGAATCTGAAGCTGTAGTCCCCTCTCCTGAACCTGGAACTGTGGTCTCCTCCCTTGAATCTGGAGATGTTGTCCCCTTCTGTGAACTAGAGAAGCGATTCTCACCTGTGAGGCAAGAGTTGTAGTCCTCTCCTGTGATGGAGCTGTGGTTCCCTCTAGTGAGCATGGATTTGTGGTCCTCTACCATGAACCTGAAGTTGTGGTCCCTTCCTGTGAACTTAGAGCTGTAGTCACCTCTGGTGAGCCAGAGTTACAGTCCCCTTTTGTGAGATGGAGATTGTGTTCCTCTCCTGCCTAATTGGAGCTGTGGTTCCCTCCCATGAACTTGAAGCTGTGGTTCCCTCTGGAGAAACAGGAGTTGTGGTCCCCTCCTATGAGCTGAAGCTGTGGTCCCTTCTTGTGAACCAGAGTTGTGGTCCTGTCCCATTAACCTGGAACTGAAGTCACATACTGTGAACCAGAGTTGTGACTTCCCATGAGTCTGAGTTGTGGTCCTCTCCCATGAATCTGGAGCTGTGGTCCCCACCTGTGAGCCAGTTTTGATCTCCTCCTGCAAGATGGAGGTGCGGTCCTCTACAATAAAGGTGGGGCCGTGGCCCTCTCCTGGAAGCTGGAGCTGTGATCCACTCCTGTGAACCGGAGTTCTGGTCCTCTCCTGTGAGCTAGAACTATGTTCCCCCTCTGTGAGATGGAACTGAGGTCCTCCTATAAAACTTTCCAGCCCCAATTTTATATTCTTTAATGTTTAAAAAAAAAGTCTAATCCACAAGGTGTCATGTCCCTAAACTAAAATATTAAATGTAGTATTTTATCAGAAAGACAAGTGTGTAATATAGAAGGAAACATCAAACTTAGTAATGTATGGATATCAAATACAAATAAAAGGTACAAATTTATTTTAGTAGTTTTAGTACTACTTTAAAATTTTTAAATGTTTATTTATTTTTGGTTTATCTGTGTGTGTGTGTGTGTGTGTGTGTGTGTTTGTGTGTGTATGTATGTATCTAAGTATGCACCTGCCATGGTGCATGTGCAGAGGTCAGAGGGCTCCTTGTGGATTCAGTTCTTTCTTTCAAACATGTGGGTTTCGAGTTTGAACTCATGTCTTAGGCTAGGGAGATGGATCAGAGGACAAGGATTTGGCTCTCCAAAACACACACATAGAAATAGAAGAGCCAGACAGCCCACTTATAATCCTAACATTATTATGGAAGTGGAAATGGGACCTTAGAGTAAACTGGCTAATTATTCTAGCCACATCAGCAAGCTATAGATGGAGCAAGATACCATGCCTCAGCAAATATATTGGGGGAGTGCCTGAAGAAGGCGCATGAGCACAAGACATATAATTTTGGTCTCCACAATTATATATAAACAGTCTACACACAGAAAGACAGACAGACAGACAGACAGACAGACACACACACACAAATGAAATAAGTAAAACCAAAAAATAAGTCTTCATAAACAACAAAGTCTCAAAATGAGTCAGTAATCAAGTTCATTTATACTTGATGCTTTAGTCTATTATTTGTAGTTATAGTATGTTACCTGAAACTACGTAAGTTATGAAGCATAGAAATTTGTTTTTATTCACCTTAGAACAGACATGACTTAGTAAAATGATGGACTTAAATGTTCCTCTACATGACTTAGTGAAGTAAAAGTGTCAGGATAAGAAATAATAAACAATATTCCAAAGGAAGAAAAAAATGTATTAAAGAGGGTGGTGTGGAGAAGCAAAATGGTGGTGCAATAAAAAGAGTTAAGCTGAAGTGACATTTTCAGAATCCTCCTGGAGAAGAAAGTAAGGGAGCACAGCCACAACGCCTGCCCTCTGAGCTGAGCCAGGCCACATGGCTCAGCCATCAGAAACTTTTTACTCCAGGACTAAAATGTTTGCAAAATCACCAGCCATAGAAAGCAAGCTAGAGTATAACCAGGAGCCAAGATCTATAGAGGTGAAGACAGGTAGCTAAAAGGTGGCACTGGCTGTGGAGGTACCAGAGGAGGAATCGTGGCTCAGGAGGATGAAGCTGTCTCACTAGTGGGAGTGGCATAACTCAGCACAGGTATCCCAAAATCAGAGGCATGAAGAATATATGACCTTGCACCACAGTTAAGCAAGTGATAGTGTGGAAAAATAAGACAAGAAATTGGATGAATCTAATACTCAATTGAAGATAGACACAAATATTCTCAGGTTAGAACTATGGAACCTTAGTGCAAAACATTCCAGGTCCAGGATGGATGAAAGTTCTAAATGGCAGTGGTAAATATATGATCATGGGTGCCTTCCCACTGTCTCAGAGCCTCAAACACATGTTGGGAAAATGTAAACACACTGCACAGCAAAGAGAAGCCTGTCATTGGAAGGTAGGGTAAAGGAACTTAGGGCGGTAACCCACAATCAGATCAGATAAACTCCCACTGAAAGTTGAGTCTGTTACACAAATATTTCTCAGCAGTGAGAAAACGTTTGAATAACAGAAAAAAGGCGCCCTCTCTGCACCTCCAAGGTTAGTTAAAAAGAGGTTGCGTGTACCCACATTCATTCCAAAAGGAAGAAATCCTAAATGATGCTATAATATTTTCTGTTTAATTTTATTTACTATATTACTCTTTATTTTTTAATTTTACCTTTTGTGTTTCAATTGTTTGTTTTAGCTTGTGTTCTGCCAAAACAGGCTTTTATGATTCTGCTTTCTTTTTCTATAACTGTTCTATAAGAGTCTATTATTTTTCATATGTCCAAACCATACATTTCACTTTTATTCCTACTTTACTTACTGCAGTGAGTAATATAGATTGTCAAAAGGCTGGCGATATGACTCAGCAGTTAAGAGTACTTATTGCTCTTGCAGAGGACACATGATTGGTTCCCAGCACCTACATGAGGTAGCTAACAACTATCTATAACTCCAGTTCCAGGGGATCTGATACCCTTTAGCTTCTGCAGATACCTCCAGAGACATGGTGTAAATAAAATCACAAAGACACATATACAAATACACATAAAGTAAATAAATCATTTAAAAATATTGATTGTCAACTTGGAAGTATCTCAAATATAGAAGATAAAAGCCTCTGGATATATTTGTGAGGGATATTCTATATTAGACTAATTGAGATGGAAACACTGTAGGTGTGGACAATATGGGGTCTTTCACTGAATTAAAAGAAAGCAAGGTTAAGAACAAATGATCATTACCCTCTGCCTTTTGACTGTGGATTCAATGTGATCAACCACCTCAAAATTCTGTGGTCATGATTTCTCCTTCACACCACAATGGTCTGTATCCTCAAATTGTGTGTCAAAATAAACCCTTTCTCCCTTAAGCTGCTTTGTTCAGTGTATTTAACCACAGCAACAGAAAAAGTAACACACTTCTCATAATTTTTGTTGTCTTTTAATTTAATGAATGATTAGATCCAAAAAGCAAAAAAGTACATTTGTCTAAATGTTACACTAGTGCTGCTATCAATGAAGATTTGGAGGTGGGGATAATTGAAATACACCAGTGTTTTGTTTTTTTTTTAAACTTAATTTGAGCATTAGGCTTGTCAAATTAGACTTTCTGTTGCTACTATCAGATACCCTACCCTAAATAATAGTGGGGATCTTAAGCCTAAGCAAATAAATATCTCCAAGAAAACTTAAGAAAGCTAAAGCAAACAAAAGGAGTGTAGAAAGACATAAATATAACTAAGAGACACATTCATCTCAAGCCAAAAAAGAAACACAAATGTGTGGTCAAAGATTCTACCGTAACACCTACAGTAGCTCACAACAACGCAGTCACTTGAAATATGTATTCCATTCTTCTCTGAATTCTCACTTTTTCCAATTTTGCATATATTACCATTTTGAAATTGTTCCACATTATGCTGGCTATTCTGTTCTGATTTTATTTTGTTTTATCATTTTATTTTATATTTCTGCCTGAGAAGTTTCTAATGATGTTTCTTAAGGTCACTAATTCTTTCCATACTTGTCTTTGACCGATTGTTGATAAGGGTTATTTTTTAAGTATTTTATTTCTTATTTTTATTTTATGTGTATGAGTGTAAAGCCTGCATGTGTGTAAGGGCATCCGTATTGTGCAATGCCTGCAGAGGTCAGAAGAGGGCCTCAAATTCCTGAAACTGGAGTTACAGATAGCTGTTAGCCTCCATGTAGGTGCTGGGAACTGAAACCTGATCCTCTACAGGAGAAGCCAGTGCTCATAATGGCTGAGTCATCTCTCCAGCCCCAGGCAGTCTATTATTTTAAAAATTTTATTATAAAAGATTTATTATTTTTTCTATAATTTGTATTGAATTTTTATGCATTCTTTTAGCTATGGTATTTTTCTGT